CATCCCAATTGCATCCCTGGTTCCTTTTCCTCTTCTAAATCCAAACTGATCTTCTCCAAGTATATCCTCCATTTTCCTTTCAGTTCTTCTTTTAAGTATCTTTGCTGTATGTGCCATACGGCTTATTGTGTGATGGTCGCTGCATATTGTAGCTTTTGTCTTTTTCTTTAAGGCAATCATTGTCACTTCTGTAAAGTCCTTGGGCCACTCCCCAGTTTCATACATGGTGTTTATTAGTTTTGTCAATGTTTTCAAACCACCTTCTCCCAGTAACTTAAGCACATCTCCAGGTACATAATCATCTCCTGTAGCCTTTCCATTCCTCATGTCCTTGATAGCTTTTTCCGCCCTACTTTGTAAAATATATGGTCCTTTCTCGTCTGTATCTACTTCTTCTTCCGGTTCCATTTCCAAGTTTTCTGGCCGATTAAGTTTATCATGTAGTTCTGTAACATAATTTTCCCAAATTTTCAGCACTTGCCTCTGATCTACTATTCTATTACACTGGGAGTCTTCGATGCCGATATTTTGAATCACATGGTTCTCATTCCATCCTAGTTCTTTTGTCTTCATGTACATCAAATCATAATGTCCTGTCCTTTGAAATTGTATAATCTCATTACATATCTTCTCAAGATATTCCTTTTTGGCCCTGTCTGTGGCTCTTTTCAATTCAATCCTCAGTCTCCTGTATTTCCTCCTGCCTTCTTCACTGTTTACATTCTTCCATTTCCTTTGCTCCTCCATTTTACTCATCATCAAATGTGTAACCCCTGGTTTTCTTGCTATCTTCTCAACTTTACCAACCAATTCACTAATAGTATCTAACATGCATTCTTTTATATTGTTCCACTGCACTTCAGCATTCCCACTTTCACTATCAATTGCACTGAGTTTCTCTTCTAGGGTCTCCTGCACGCTTTGTTTTTGAGCATATAACTTCTCCAAAACCCATCTAGGTCTGCGATTTTCGAATCTTATAATTTTCTTCAACCTGGTTCGAAACTTGGCAACCAGTAAGTTGTGGTCAGAGTCAATATCTGCCCCAGGCAGCGTCTTCACATCCTTCACACTGTTTCTGAATCGATGTTTCACAAGGATGTAGTCCAGCTGATGCCGCCTCCAATCCCCAGGTGCCTTCCATGTGTAAAGTCTTCTCTTTTGCTTCTTGAACCAAGTGTTGGTAACGATCAGTCCATTTCTTTCACAAAAGTCAATAAGTATTTGACCCGTGATTCCGTCTTCCTAGTCCATGTGATCCAACAATATTATGATGAATCATATCAGATCAAGATACAAGACAAAAAAATGTTCTCATAGAACATAACAGCTCTGAATTTGTACATTATCAATAAGTCCTGTGGATGAAGTAAGCTTCACCTGTGGTTCTGGAAGCAGGTTGTTAGGGTTCTTGTTCTGTAAGGCAGTACATGGTTTGTTATGAGAGGCTAAGCTTGTGACTCATTCACAGCTTTGGCCTGTAAAAGGAAAAGAGAGGTGCTGAAGAAGATAAGTAAAGTCACTACTAATGCAGGAAATGTCCAGGCCGTCTTCAAACAGCAGGTTCATTTAGTGTCATGCCATGGTTCTTGTCCTATAGGGTGTAACCCCTCGGAGAAAATATGATTTCAAGGGGGTGCAGAGCATTTTGGTCAAAAATGAATTTTACTCAGAATATTATGTTGCACTTGTAAGCTGTGAATTGTCATAAGTATCCAGGTTTGCAATTGGATGTTTTTTGGTTCAGGTATATGCCTCGGTATCCTAGTTGTGTGCAGATAGCTCTGTACTGTTTTCCTCGACTAGCACAATGCCAACTTCCTGTTTGCTCCAAAAATGAAACATTGCAACTACTGGACACTGAGACCAATCTTTACTTTGCTTCCTCTGAGATCAAACTGAGATGTGGTAGCAAAACACAGTGGCAGCTCTCTCAAAAATAATTAAAATATTGTGTATTATATTTAGCTCTTTATTATCATTATTCATATTTCCTGGGATGGAGTTATTATATACTTATATTTCTGTACTTTCTAGATCATAAATAATGGATTGATCGTAAGATTGTACACTGAACTTGTTAAAATCCCCTTTGTCCTCGACATGCAAACTTCTGGATGTACAAGTGGCATAAGAACTATTTCCCATCAGAAGTATTTGAAATTTTCATTGCAGAATAGCAAATGCTGTGGATTATATGAACAACAAACTGAGGTTCACTAGCTAATATGACGTGGCGGAGGGTTTCAAAGGCGCTAGGTACAGTGAGTCACTCCCTCATTGGCAACATGTGGCTTACTAATATTGTGGGAGGATGCCATTTGAGGGTAGTGAATATTGTGTGTCACTCACTCAGTGGTGGCAGCAAGGGTAGGTTTACATCGAGTTCTTCCTCTGTAATTTCTTGGTTATTTCAACTGTTATTGTGGGGGTAATAACCCTTAAAGTAGCTGAATAGCCCAAGAGAAGAATATAGCGGCAGTAACATTTGAAGTGACAGTGGATATAATAAAACAGCTTGTAAAAGGTGAAACTCTCTCCCCCTTGGCAGTGCTCTTGACTTTAACTGTTCAAATATTGGAACAGTTACGAAGGACAAAGAATTTTGGAACATGCGAAAGCTTCACTTCAGTGCATTGAGCAGTAATTACAAAAAAGGAAAAGAACTGGTGATACTGAGAGAATGGAAAATCTGTTGATGACACTGGTGATCAGAATCACACACACATTCCTTAGCACCAAATCTATGTCATAAGCCTTATTTGATAACAAAAATCTGTGAGCCTGTGCGAACATTTAAAAGCAACTGATCTTGGAAATAATGCACTATTTCTCCAAGCAAATTGTGGGAGGTTTGTGTTATTTTATTCTAGAGCCTGCCTGCATAGCATAAGTGAAAGGTGAGCAGCTAGTGTTGACGAAAAGGCAGCAGCATATTTTATGATATTTGACAAGACTGTGAAGGAGAATAACACCTTTTATCAAACTTTCAACATTGAAGAAACATGACTTTTTACCCCCTATGGAAAGAATCACTGACTTTAAAGCTGCTAAGGACTGCCTCACTGTCTTTCTCTGCAGTTTGTCTATCAACCTGAAAATTCTCGTGTATTAAAAAATAAAGCATACCAGTTACATGGATGGAAGATAAAAGAGGACAAATTTTCAAAAACTGGTTTTACATACATTTTGTGTCCACAGTGAATTTTACTGTGCAAAGAAAGAATTATCTTGAAAATTTTGTAGTTGCTTGACAGTGCTCATAACATTTGTATAATATTCATTTTGACATTAGAGTTATTTTCCTGCAAATCCGTCTTCTTTAGCATAGCCCATAAATCATGTATCATCCAGTTTTAAAGCCTTCAAGCAGTGAAATCCATAGAAAAGGAGAAGCATAAAACCCTCGGTGAATTCTGGAAGGAGTTCAGTCCTAAACATGGGATACAGTTGCCATGAGGTGAAGAAAACAGCAGTAAATTTTGCCTTGAGAAATGATATTGTGACATGTTGCGCAATGGAGAACCCCCCTCCCAGCAGTGACGTCACGAGTACAGCTCAGCCACCGACATTCAATGGAAATTCAACGTGAAATGTGTAGTCTACTGACAATAGCGTGATTTGATTTGCGAATAGGGTTATAAATCGTGAAACCCCGCAACAGTGTAAATAGATTATTGCGATTAGGGTTATAAAGTGTGAAACCCCGCAACTGTGTGATAAGTAATTGTAGCAGTTACTTGTAGGTTGTTGAATAAACCAATTAAAAATCTCTATGGCGTCTTCAGTAACAAAACACGTTACAACTGGTATCAGAAGTGGGATTTGGACTTACACATGTGACCAACAAGATTCGAACTCAAGACACGTGACAATTTGGTGTCAGAATTGGGCCACAGAACTAACCATATCTTTTCAGGGCCTGACATAATTTTCTTCGTCACAGGCTGATATCATGTAACAGTGGGATCTGTCAGGGTTATAAGGTTCTGTGATGAAAATACTTAATGAAACATGATGCACTGTTCAGAGATATTTTCTTCTTTTTGAGCCTGTGACAGGCTTCCTGTTTTTTCCAACAATGTTCTTCCTCAGCTGAACCAGTTCATAGCTGCTATGAGGAACTAGCTCCAAATTATATACAATTAGTGTATTGCTTATTTTTATGATTTTATTCCCCTATGAAATGGTTCTCATCAGTGTGGCTTCTGATAAAAATTCATCATTCATTGCTTAGTTTTGTGTGTAAGATGCTTCAGCTACATTTTCACCCATTTGAAGTATAGAAATGATCAAAATCAAACATGTTAGTACACTTGAGACAAGAGGAAAATGCTAGTATGCTGTTGTATATACGAACTTCTAAGCCTTGTAGGAAAGAAAACAAATTCTTGGAAGAACTAATCGCCTACTTTCCTTTAATACACGATTAACCGCACAGAAAACAAAGAAGAAACATGGGGTGGAACAGACATGCAGACAGCAAGCTGATCTCATAGTCTTCCTAAAAAAATTAAGGGGACACACACAGACAGAAGGTGATTTCATAATCATCCCAACGAAAATTATAGGGGATACACAGACAGATGGACCTGAATGAATGGATACACCATGACGACGTATGGGGGTGCAGATGTGTAACTCCTGGCATTACCTACAGCACTGGATAGGAGGTAAGTGATCAGCGTCATGCCTTGGCTGCTGTACCCTCAATGAAAAAAACTCCAGTACCCATTGGTTAGGACGCTGGATGGGCCTCAGAACCAGTAGGGACACTATTAAAATGTGAAAAATCTCTGACACATTCAGAAATCCAATCCCAGTTCCTCAGTTGCCCAGTCTAGGCATGTTGTACTGATTGAGATAGGTAATTATTAAACTTACATTTTGACAAATGACTCAAGCAACTCTTTCTAAATTAGTGACTCACCTCTTTATATGGTCAACATGCGATGCTTCCATCTTGCTCCGTAAGCCTTTTATTTTGGATCTGAGGACAAGAATAATGTTCTCTGCCCCCATTCCATAACTTGCCTCAGGAAGAATTTCATCTTCAGTTCTTTCATGGTGAGGGATATAAACACTATATAAGGGAAAACATTAAAGGCTTAATACTACAGGAGAGAACAGATGGCAAAAAAAAAAATAGTTTCTTACAATAAGGTGATAAGACAATTTCCGTGTAATTGATTTTTTTGGGGTGAAAACATAAATACCTTAACAAATCAACATAATATTAAATCCTATTAAGGTAGTTGCCACAGAATTAAGAGATACCTAACTATGTTCACGTCTTTATACCAGGATACTGGGAAAAATTGTAATATGTGGGCAGCTAACAAACCTTTAAAAATATGTAGCGAAGTTCAGATATTAGCTTAAAAAGAAGGTAAAATTGTCCTTGTGCTTACCTAGTTGAGCACTACACCATGAAGTCATGGGGGAGTTGTGAAAGTTGTTCTCCCATATTAGAGGAACAAAATTAATTTAGAGTGTTTAAGAACAGGATGCTGAGGAGAATATTTGGACCTGTGAGAACTTACATGAAGCTGGAGAAAACTGCACAATGAGACACTTTTCAGTTCATATTTTTGTCATACATTATTAGGATGATCACATCAATAGGATGGAAGAGATGGAGCATGAAGCACATGTGAGGGAATGTCAAATATATACAAAATTTAGTCAGAAAATCTGAAGGGAAGAGCTACTTGGAATGCTTAAGACTATAGACTGTAGGACAGTGAAGTGAATGTTTAAGAAATATGGTGAGGGGAGTTGAACTGGTTGACCTGTCTCAGGCTAGGAAGCAGTGGCTGACTCTTGCAAATATGGTATTATCCCTTCAAGTTACATAAAGGGCAGGAAATTTATTGATTATCTGAGACATTGACCCATAGTGTTAGCTATTTCATATTAATGCTAACCAATTTGAAATTGTTAATGAACTCATACACTAGCATTTTATAGTGGTCGCTGAAAGAGAATTTTATGATACATGATGAACTGACCATTAAAAGAATCAATTTTAGTTAGTTCAAATCAATTGTTTGGACAAAATTTAGATCCAATCGACACTTAACAGGGGGATTTAACCAAAGGTATTCCAAAATGTTCCCTATTTACCTGCTCACTGAATCCACCTTGTTTAAGTGTGGAGGTTCAGTTCTGACACTTCTGGCACTGCTAATTATATGGGAACTGATATCTGACTTTTGTCTAGACTCATTCAGTGACACAGTGTGTTACAACTGCCAACAAAAACAGAATCTGTGACAAAGACCTCAATAATTTAAATTCAGTAGCTGAAGTAAGATAAAAGCCGTGCCTGGATCTTGCTGGAAGCTGATCATTTTTGCATGTGAAATTCTCGTTCTTTGAAAATCTCTCCTGATTTTTCTGAAATTAAAACAAAGAATATTAATGTTCAAATTGGAAAAAAAAAAAGACATATATACTACAGATATCTCAGACAATTGACCTTCAGCAAAACACACACCATTATGCCTTCAAACTCTTTTAGTAATATAGTTCCTATGTTTTCAATTCTAGTTCTGCATTTAATTTGTTGAATTCTTCTTCCTTTTGCAATAGGTTCTTTTACATTGTGATTACATAAAATGAGAATTTGCTTCGCAAGGAGGAAAATTACAAACTTAGAACATTACAGCCATACAGCTATATGAGATATAATGATCGATAATGATTATATCCGTATCGATCCGTATGATCCGTATGTACACCTACATTTAAGGTTCACTGATTTCTGTTAAGTCTGTTACAACGATTACAGTACCTGCCGCTTTTCTATTCACAACCACACTTCAAACCCTTCCTGTGACATTCAGCACCTATACTCCACACAAGATGGCAGCACAAGTTATAAGCTCAAATGGCGTAGTAATTTCGTTCATTTCGATATAGTGTACACGCAGAATCCACGGTTCTCAACTGGCGCGGGCTTCAATTGCGGCGTTTTTAAGCTGAGGTTTAATTGCCCGTCATTTCGAGAAAATGACAGCTAGGTCTTTTTTAAAAATACAAACGACATGAGCATATGAAACATGTACTAGATGTGTGTTTTATGAGTACTGCAATCTAATGTTAGTAATCGCTAGTATGAAACTTTGTGTAGACGTTATGTTATGTTGCCAGTCATTGTTCATCTGGTATTTAAGGCATGAAATTCTGTATGAATACAAATTATATATATGTTTAAGAAATTAGTTACTATAAGCATAATAAATATAGGTTGACAAGCAGTTTCGTTATCACGAAACAAATTACTTCCAGTTACATTTGCTAAAAAAATAAGACGAGTTTGCTATAGTTGTACGGGAGACCGACGAATGATTGATCCGTGGAAGGAGGATTAAGATAATATTAGCGCCTAAGTGTGCTCTACTGCTTCAAGTTATTAATGGTTTGGATAGTTCGTTCGTATGTTCACGTATAATAGATAAGTGTAAGGTTGTCCCTGTGCCTAACAAATTAAGTACTACGCCATCAAGGCACATGGGGATTGCATGTATAGATCCACATTCTTTTGACCTATTGACCTCGCATTAGTTGGAAGTGGGTGGTCAGCTTCACGCACCGGCCGCTTAACCCCAAGGAAAAACCCTCGGTACCCATTGTATAGGAGGCTAGATTGATCTCAGAGCCGGTCTGGACGACATGGCATACCGCTCCGGGACTCACACTCTTAATTCCTCCAGTCCGTAGCCAGTCGATATACCGACTGAGCTATCCCGGCCTATAAATAGGTGAAGCCTGTATTCGTACACATTTGGTAGTAAAAAACATACACTCGATATGAATAAGAGCTGTAGGTATTCATTAAGTTAATTACTGTAAGCGTTATGAAAATAATTATTTAGAGTGCGTGGGTAAGCTATTTCAATCCTAAATAACATGACTTTCAATTTCATTTCTTCAGGGATCTGACATGGTACACCGAAGCAATTACCTTATCTGACATGGTACACCGAAGCAATTACCTTATAAGGTTACCATTTTGGTGCCCTGTGTTCGATGAAAGAAAACAGACTACTTACTTAACCCTGATAGGTCGGATCTTTGCAGCTCAGTGACAAATCACGGGAACAATATTCAGCTACGCGATTGTTTATCCA